AAAAGAAACAATACTTATCGATATATATTGACATTATAGTAACATCAATATGTTTTGAAAAATATTGATACTTTTTTTTTATAATATATTCTAACTTAAAAATGGTCAATCGTCTTCATCAAACCTTCTATCGATCTAATGCGACCCAATTATCAGAGTCTGATATTAAAGAGATTAGAGATTCGAGAGGAAAAATTTCAAATGTATCAAAAAAAAATGGCTAAAAAATTTCATATTGGTGCTTGCCATGTATATGAGATATGGGAACATAATGAATGTTTTCAACAAGGTCTTTATAATCAAAATGATTTCTTATTACTACCTGATTCAAATAAAGGTCTCACATTAGATAAGTCTCAAACTAAGAAGATTCTAGCTAAGGAAACATCGACAAAAAAGATTAGCCGAAAAAGGAAAGTTTCATCAGATTCATATATAGTAGGCTCGAAGAGTGATAGCTTTGCAATAGAAAAAAATACCTCTTCTATAGATAGGTTCAAAGAACTACAGTGTGCACAAACTTTGTTTGATACATTTAGAAGAAAAGCAGATCTTGAAAAATTAATGAAAGATACTGAAAGATTAGCTCCTATATGCCTGTCTTTGCCTCAGTAAGCTGAAAACATCTTTCTGCAAGAACTCTATCTGCATTTAGAGCCATATCAAGCCACTCTTCAGTTTTTATGAGTCGCTTTTCAAGGAAGTTATATTTTTTTTAAAATTCTTATCATCATACATATCTGAAACTTGTTGCTCTGGTTTATTAACCCCTGTAGCCTTGCTAAAAGTTGGGATAGTGTAAGTCTTTCTATGTAACTTCATTTAAAATTAATTTTTATTTGAATCAAGAATACCTTGAACTTTTCGAATCCATGTCATACCTAAACATAACATTGGTTCAGGTTCACCATTATTAATACAAGCAAAATTTCCAGTAGCTGTAACAATTTTACCATCTTTGTCCTTTACACTAATTGGCACATCTCATAGGAGGACTTTCATATGATTGGCTGATGTAAATCAATTGCCCGGGTAACTTATTTATACACTTTAAAG